TTTCACAGATGTGGAAGATAAGCAATTCACTGTATCATAGGAGTTCAAATAGTGAAAAGTGTAATGGATACTTCCCCCCCCCCCCCGTCTCACTTTCAAAAGTAACCTACTCCATTAATTTTATAACAAAGCCAGATACAATCTTGCCAATAACCAATTTTCACTGAAGAAAGAGGACAAGCTTCTTGATGTCTAGACTAAATCATGAACATTCCTTGGGAAATTAACAGGAACTTTTGGTCTAGGTTTACAATAATACTTTCAATGATGTAGAAGTAATCTAAGATTTCTGAGCATATGTTTAAATCCAGAGAACTCCAAAGTTTTGTATTATTACAAGCCAGGGAAAGTCTTTGTTTTATGAAGAATATATGGGACAATATGTCAGTTTAAAACAAAAAAGGAAAATATATCATTCCGGAGTAGGAATTATATAAGTATATGTATGAAAAGACATCTATTTCCATATTAAAATAAGAAAAATCTGTTTAGTATTGCTGCATATCAATTTTGCCTCACTCTTCTGATTTTAAAAAGGATATTCTATTTTGTACTCATCCTCCAAATATTTTCTGTCAATCAATATCATCTAGACATTTATAGATTTATAGGTGATTGAAGAGCTATGTTTGCTAATTCTAGCTTTTTGCCTCCCTTTTTACAATAAAGTAGCAAAATCTGAAGTGGGCTTTTACAAATATTCATTGATAAGATTGTCCATTAATTATTATATAAGTATGCAGTTGCAACTTTAAAGGTAGAAGACATGTCACAGAATTTGCATATTCAGCATTAACTGTTATGTGCTTAGTTGCTATTAGAGATCAACAAATATGATGTTTTTCCTTCCACTTTCAATCTGTCCTGGGTAGTTCCAAGTATTCCTCAACCTACAACCACAAGTGAGCCCAAAATTTTGGTTGCTAAGCAGGACAGTTATTGTGAATTTTGCCCCATTTAGGACCTCTCTTGTCATAGCTGTTAAGTGAATCACTGCAGTTAAGTTAGTAACACAGTGGTAATGTGAATCTGGCTTCCCCATTGACTTAGCTTGTCAGAAAATTGATGATGGTGATCACATGACCCCGGAACACCACAATTATTTATAACTAGCTGTACCCGGCCACGCATTGCTGTGGCTCAGTCTGGTTAAATGGAAAAGAGAAAGCGCATG